CATGTCAGTGATGATTTATTTGACTGTAATAATCAGACCACTGTCACACTGGGCAGAACCGTCGTCTAAACTCAGACGTTTGACATCAAACATTCAGTTACAGAACTTGTAGTTGGTGAGAAGGAGAAACTCAGAAGCTGCAGCAGATGAGGCTCTAACTGTTCTCTGTGTTTCCATAATAACAGCCTCTGAGCCTCTGCTGAGCTTCAGTCAGTGACTCACTCATGTTCATCAGCTGATGTTCAACTCAACAGTGTCACCTAGTGGCTCAATGTGACACTGTCACTGGTTTTATAACAGGTATGTTACAGAGAGGAGGACTGGTTCTGCCCTGTCCCCCAAAGACCATGAAAGATCATCAGTAAAATACTAAAACACTTACTGTTATAGAACATTGATAAACCTGTTATAATGTCACGTGAATATAACCTGTTGATTTGAATATTAGTTTGTGGGCTAATTTATAATGTTTAAATGTTCAACTCTTCTTTTAAAAATATATCTAATACTTTGTATAATTGATTTTTCTGTATATTATTTGTATCTTGGATGTTTTGATATCTTGATTTCATTCTCATGATGTTAAATATGTAAAAATGCCACAGTATTCTTTTTTTCCAGGGGTGGAAAATAACAGCTGTTGTTCCCACAACAAAAACATTTTAGAGATCGATACGTCAGCTTTAAAAAATAATAATATCACAGACATCCAGGATCTGTTCTGGGTCACAGGAATAAGAACTTAACTGTTTTACTTATTCTCTTTTCTGACTTTTCTTATTGTCTACCTGGTTGTGCATCTTAATGTATATTTAAAAGCATTTAAATCAGTTAATCAACTGAATCCAAATTAAATGAATTGAATTTTAAAATGGACTGGAATCTGAAATGTCTCTCAAAATGTGTTTCTCTAAATTACTACTTTACTGCTAATACTCCAAATTAGTCAACATTTAATTAATCAATTTATAATGGTTTTTCCAGTAAAAAAAAAAAAAAGGATACATTTATTATAATCAAACACAGAAATCTACTGAGACAGAACACATTTACAACAGAAAAGGGGAAAATAGTATTTTAATTATTAGTATAAATCATCAATGGAAATTATAAACTTTACCTGGCAACAAGTTGCTCTAAAAAGATTAAAGCAACAACACTGAAACTGTGGAAATAATCCTGATTTAAGAGATTATTAAATCTGCTGTGACACCAGTCTGTTCCTGCTCACCTGACACCTGAGGCTCCTGTGATGGGTGACATTTACAGACACAGACACCCTGTGGTGAACATGAGAACTGCAGGATGCAGAAGAGAGCATTGTACGTTATTTATAAGACCTTACTGCAAAACCTGCTTCATCTCCTCTGTTCTGTGGTTACATTAAAATCCAGCACTTACATTGTCAGTTCACAGCACATTTTAATTGTAGCTGTGTCTCTTGTTCACACTGAACCTGGGAAAACTGGGTTCAAACACTTTGCTGCATGTAAATGTAACGTAACGTTTTCTTATTTCACCGGAACATTTTAAAAGATTTTACTTTTGTATTTAATCATATTTACACACACTTTTCTTAAATGTGAAAATGTAAAATGTCTGAATTATCATCATCAAAGCACAAATCACCTCAAAACAGCTAAATTAAAATCAATCCAAAACTAGATGGACTTCAGTTTGATTTACCCATCAGCCAACAGAGCTCAGAGAACAATGAATGCATAGTCTGCATTGCTGCAACCACACTAAAACGTCCTCAAGGAGTTTCTTATCTCTTTCAGAGAGGAGACCCCAACCAGGAATTCAAAATTCAATTGTACAGTGTACAACCTATTTTTATTTAAAGCTTAACAATGAGGAAACTGTATTATTACAAAATATCAAAGCAAAAAGGTAAAAGAATAATTTTCACAAACATTCAATATAACACTGGCTGTATGTCACGAAACGCAGAGAGCTGAGTCTCAGGTATGGTTGACTAACTCAACACTGTAAACATCTGTCTGTTGTGTCGTTATGTCTGTGGTAATATTTAACAGGCCGATAACTGGTGAGATTTAACTCAATCATGTTGCAGATTAACCTTCAGATCCATCCACGTCTCATTTCAAATGTCATGCTGATCATTTTTTAACTGTAAACTGCCGGTTACAGTGAAGTCCAACTACACTGTAAAACAGCTGATTCATATCGGCCTAATAATGTTTGAATTGGAATTTACATTTGAGTTGTTTTAATAGTGAAAACAACACATTCAATACTCTGTAGTAGGCTTTGTGGTGAGTAGCAGACAGTTTTTAACTAACTGACTTGCACGCCTTGAGAAATACTGCTTTACAGCATTTCACACAGCATTGATCTGTAGGTATGCACTAACTGTTTCAGTGAGGCAGGATGTTGTGGTCAAGTGGCTCCTGCTGCATCTTCAACCATCGACTGTCTGCACCAGATGCAGGTTGTGAGTGGAACCTCAGAGTTCCTGTTTTATTTCTTTAGATGTTAGTTTATTTGATTACTCCCCTTATATTCTCTGTGTCAAAATGATGTCTGACTCTCGAGGGGTTAAGAGGAGTTGAAAAGGTGAGTGTAAGGTAAGTACAGGGTAAGGTAACTATACTAAGTGGCTCAAACATGGTGCATGATCCGTACAACTCTGCCTTACTCAGAGGTAGGTATATCAAACAGCTCCAAAACATCTGTCAGGAAGTCAGATACACACATTACATTAGGATGTATAGCATTCACACATAACTCAAAGAATATAAACAATATCTCACCTTAAACAAATCTGCATTAAAAAAACCTTACTGATGTGGCAACATGGTCTGAAACAAAGGATGTGAACAGAACACACCCACCTGTATATAACCTCCCTTCCTCTGAACTCCTGTGCTCTTTAACCTGAGTATAATGATAGTTCTCTGATAAATGCAATGAAGTAAAAAAAATAGGATGTTTTTGTACGACACAGACAAACTGGTAAAACTTAAGTAATACCTTCAGATTGTACTGAACTACAGCCCTGAGTACACAGGTGTATGCAGAGGTTTCTCCACCGCTGCTGACCCTCTGTGCGTGGTCAACCAGTGTCTTTCTGAAGTCCATGAGCCTCCTTTGTTTCCCCTTTATTTAGGGAAAGCTTCTTGGTCTGCTAGCTGTGCTGCTAGCAGGTCCACCTCCTCTCTGTCAGCTGTTTCATCATTTTGGCTGATGAGGCCCGTCACTGTTGGTGGTGACGGAGGTGCAGCTGCTGATCTGGACTGACTGCAGCCTCCCAGTGAGGGAACCCAGGACCCAGAGGGAGATGTTTGGGCCAAGCTTGTTAGCTTCACAATCAGGTGTTCAGCTCGACTTTATGCAAGACAAGTCTCTCAAAGCACTTCATGATGATTCTCCGGAGCTGTTATCATCCAGACAGCTGCTTTCTGAGGGTTAACCCTTTACAGGGTCTTCCTCACACTGTCTGCAGTCACATACAGAACCTGGTCATGTGGAGGAAGGAAGGTCTTCATCAGCTGAACATTATTTAACCTTTAAAATCGTGAGTAGAAGTTGTTCACCACATCTGGAGGGGAGGTCACAAACCTGTGGTGGGGGCTTGTCGTCTATAATGACCTGGATGCTCTTCTACTAGACTGTGTCTCTGCTCTCAACAAAGTGGCAACTGATTCTCTGTAAAATAATTCTGTTTTTGCTCATCTGATGTAATGTGATGTGATTTCTGTTTCCCCAGATCTGGACGCAGCAGCTCGGACCCTCGCTGGTTTTGCTCATGAGATGTGACAGGGTCCCTGCTTCTCTGGGGCCAGAAGTTTCTCTTTCAATTCATTCATTTCTCTTTCATGTTTCTTCTGCAGGTCCTCCAGCTCTTCACCGTCACCGTCTTCATCTGTGGTCATGGTTTGTGGTTTCAACTCTTTTATCTCTGCTTCGTGTTTCTTCTGCAGCTCGTCCATTTTTTCTTTCTCATTTCTTTTATTTTCTTCCACAAGTTTCTGTTTGAATTTATTCAGTTTCTGCTCATGTTCTTTCTGTAGTTCGTCCACTTCTTTCTTCTGCTTTTGATGCTGTTGGTTCATAAATTTCAGTCTCCACTCATTGATTTCTTGGCCATGTTCGATGGACAGCTTGTTCCTTCTCATCTTCTTCTCTTCTTTACTTTGGTTCTGAAGTTCTCTGTCCAAGGATTTCATTTCTTCTTTGTGTCTTTTCTTGAATTCGTCCAGTTCTTCCTTCTCTTGTCTCCTGTTTTCGATTGAAAGCTCTTTTATAAGGTTCTCCATCTCTTTTCTTTGTGTTTTCTGCATTGAACTTATTTTGCTCCTGTTTTCTTTCTTTCGGGTCAGAAGAAGCAGAATCAAGTCGGTCATCTCTTGTTTGTGTTTGTCCTGCAGTTCGTCCATGTCTTGTTTCAGAGTCTTTTCTTTGTTTTCCATTAAGTTTTTATTTTCCTCCTGTTTCTCCTGCATGTGTTTCTCATGTTCTTGCTTCAGATCCATCACTTCCTCCATGTGTTTGTCTGTCAGAGCTGCAAAGTCCTCCTCCGTTTTCTCTCTGAAGTCATTGAATTCTTCAGCTTGTTTTCTGGCCTCCTCCTCATACTTCTTCTTCATTTTCTCTATTTCTGTTTTATATTTTCTGTCTATCTCTTTAAGTTTCTCTTCCTGCTCTCTTCTCATTCTGTCCTCTTCTTCTCTCTTGTTTTCAGATCTAACTCTCTCTCTGTCATATTCTTCCTGGAGCTTTCTAAGTCTTTGTTCCTCCCGTCGTCTCTGTTCATCTTCTTGTTTTCGTTTTTCCCACCACTCGTTTCGTTCCTTCTCCCAGTCCTCCTGTTGTGTTTTCATCACCTCTTTAGTCTCCTTCAGCTTTCTGTCAAAGATTTCCTTTGATTCTGATTCTGATTTTATTTTGCTCTTCAGGTCTTTAATTTTTTGTTCCCACTCCTGTCGTTGAGTTTCTTCCTGTTGTTTCTTCTTCCTGTCTTCTTCTTCTCTCTTCTCCTGTTCTTTCTGTGTCTGCTCACGCTCCTTCTTTATCTTCTCCTGCATTTCCTTGAGTTGTTCATCTCTCAGTTTTCTCTCTTGTTCAGTTTTTGCTCTCTCTTCTTCCATTCTTCTTTTCATGTCTTCCTTTTCTTCCTCATGTTTTCTTTCTAGTTCCTCCCTCTCTCTCTTCATCTCTTCTTCCTTCTCCTTCAGGATCTTCTTCACTTCTTTCTGTATCGCTGCTTCAGCCTCTTGCAGCATCTCATTAGTGTAGCAGCTGCCTCTATTTCTCTTCAGCATGGTGTCGATCTTGTTTATCAGCTCACTGACTTGTGTACGATTGTGTTTATCATAGTTGTTAAACACATGGCATCTTCCTCCACAGTCAGAGATCAGCTTCTTAAAGGAATCGTCACATTTATTTTTGATGTATTCTTCAATCGACAGCTCCTCTTGTTCCAGTGAATCTCCTCTTGTGAAAAGAATGATGGTGAACTCTCCAGAATTCTTCCCAAAGACTTTCTTAATGAGTTTCAGCGTCTCCTTCTCCTCTGGTGTGAGTCGTCCGATCTGTAACACCAACAGGAAGACATGTGGTCCTGGAGCCAGAAGACTGATGCACTTCACCATCTCCTCATTAACCTGTTCATGAGACAAACTATTGTCAAACAGACCAGGAGTGTCGACCACAACAACAGGACGACCGTCCACTTCACTCTGTGCTTTCTGACAATATTTGGTGACTGATGTTTGACATGATTCAGCTTTAAACTCTTTTCTTCCCAGAATGGTGTTTCCTGTAGCGCTCTTTCCATTACCAGTCTTTCCTATCAGCACGATCCTGAGACACTCTGGACTCTGGTTCTTATCATCACCTGTGAAATGTGAAGACCCGCAGTTACTTTATGTGCTGACAGTTTGAACTCTACATAGACTGCAAGATACGGTGGGTTTGGAAAGTTTTATACAGCAAGAGAAAAAGATAATTTGGCCATTAATGGAGAGACAGAACTTCCTGATTGACAGTGTTACATAGTGTTGGAGTCTGTTTTATTTTGGTGTTTCCTGTTGATCCTGTAGGTGGATCACCTGATTGACACACACCTGTGCTGACTAGTGGGCTGAGTCTGTTTAGGCCGGCCCTTTGTTTCAGCTCTCTCTCTCTCTCCCTCCTGATGCAGCAGCACCTTTGTGGTGCAAGGTCTCTGTTTTCTTTTCAGTCTCACCATCTATTTCCAATAAACTTTAAAGTCGTAAACTTCATCCTGGTGTTGTGTCCATTATTATGTTCAGTGTTTGAGCCGGCCATAACAACAGTCAGAAAATGAAACTAACTGACAGCAGACAGAGCCAACAGATTCAATGACCCCGAGAGTAAAACTTATTACATCAACTGGCCTGACACTCACACACACACACACACACACACACACACACACACACACACACACACACACACACACACACACACGCAACAGGTGTACCTAATAAAGTGCTTTTTATAGTACTTACAAGTGACTTTGCCTTTTGTTCTCCTGTTCTCAAGGTCAGTCTGCAGTGTGATGATCTTCCCTATTTGTGCAAGTGCAAATGTCTCAGTTGTGTAGCTGGATGGTTTTTCTTTGTCGGGTCTCATTTTTTCTAAACTATCCAACACCTCAGAGATCTGATGTTTGTTCTTGATGTTGACAACAACAGATCTTCCTCCACAGCTCTGAAGCAGCTCCTGGATGTCTCTGTTCTTTCTTATAAAGTCAACAACAGCTGGAGCTGCAGGATCTGACTCCACAGTGAACAGAATCATGGTGAAGTCATTGACTGGAGAGCTGAATGAGTTCTGGATGGTCTCTAACTCTCCCTTGTCTTCATCAGTGAGGGGACCCACAGGTAGGACCAGGATGAAGGCATGGACGCCCTCAGGATCACAGAGGGAGATACACCTGAACGATTCCTTCATCAGTTCCTCCTGAGGTTTTCCATACAAGGCAGGAAGCTCCACCAGGGAAACCTGACGTCCTCTCACCTCTCCCTGATGTTTAACACACTCTGATGAGCTGGAGACTGAATGAAGCTCTGTCTGACCTAAAATGGCCTCGGCTGCTGAAGTCTTCCCTGCTCCTCTCCTCCCACACAGAACCAGGTTTAAAGCTGGTTTCATGTGTTCAGACTTTAGTGTCATGGTTAAACCTGGATCCTCATCCTCAAACACATCACAGCTCAGATGATCTCCATTGTTTTCCTTTGCAGTTTGACCCAAGCGTGTTAACAGCTCTGAAAGTTCAAGGTTCTTCTGCCACAAGTGTCTGTACCTACATGTTTTGATCATGTCTTTTAACGGTGGATGCTGACTGTACTTCTCCATGAAGCCTGGCTGCTCCTCTCTGGGTGTTGAGATCAGAACCAGTGAATGATCACATGATCGATCACTGAAGAGTTTCAGGACTCTGCAGAGCTTCAGTTTCTGTTCCTCAGTGAAGTCTTCAGGCTGTAGAACCAGCAGGAACACATGAGGTCCAGGGACCGAGAGACTCACAACACTTTTCATATGTTCTGTCAGTTTGTGTTCAGAGATGTTGTAATGAAGCAGATCTGGGGTGTTGATGAGAACTATTTCTTTCTCCTTCAGCTGTCCACTGACTCTCTGACAGCAGTCTGGTTCTTCCTCAGTGTTGAACTCAGTCTCTCCCAGGATGAAGTTCCCCACTGAACTCCTCTCAGACCAGCTGTTCCCCAGCAGAACAACCCTCAGCTCAGACACTGAAAGACAAAACACTGAATAAGAAAAGGCTAATTAAACTGAATTTAACATGTGTGAGGGTATCACTACTTCTTCAGTAAGGACTTGGAGAAACTTAAATGTGACTTACAGGTTATACATAATATTTAACATATTCTGTCTCAGTTCAGTTTGACTCACTGTGAGGAGGCAGAAGTTCAAAGCTGTCACAGCGCTTGACAGGCTGCTCATCACCTGTCACTGTGAAGACACAGACATGTCAATATTCATACAGTCATCTTTGCATTTGCACTGTAGTAGGTCTGGTTATAACAATAACATTGTAGAGGATACAGGATACACAGACAGTTATATACAGGGTGTATATTGCAAATATCGGCTGTATTTATAGCAGAACAGTTGTATTAGACTGCATTAGACTGTACAGGTGTACCTAATAAAGTGAATTTATGTTGAGGAAACACTGACATGTCAGAAGGTCTGTCTGTGACACAGCAGGCGCTGTCTTTGTAAAAACAACAACTACTTCCACAGTAACAGAACAACCTGTTGATGCACACTGCCCTCTACTGGTCCACTAACAGATTTATTCAAGGGTTTGTATCAAGGAAACAAATATTTCAACTCTCACTCACTTCATTCAGAAGAACAGCTCATGTGTTAATTAGTTAATTAATTATGTGAAATTTGTAAAACCAACTTGATTTGAATTCAAAAGATGAAACTAACAGCCCATACAGAAATGTAATATATGACATACAGTATATGTCTCCATATACAGAGTGATGTTGCCATATATGTCACCTATAAGAGGACATTTCATTATCACATATAAACATCCTCTGGATATATGAAGATATAAGTTCATAACATACATGAAATACTCAGAGTAAAAGTTGTATATATATTAAAAACATCTATATGATGATTTTTTTATATGGCTCAACATATTTCAACTATATTTGCTAATGATGTATAATTAATTAATATATACAAGTTTATTAAACAACATTTATATAAAAATTATATATGTATGTACATAACTTCCACATATAGAAATTCAGTATATGTACATGTATTACACTTGTGTATGGGAATATGTAAAATACCCTGGAGCCACACACACAAGAGAATAAAATACACAGACTGCACATGTCTCATAGTATTGAAAACCACTGTGCAGTGTTAAGGCCTCTGATAAACCTTCAAACTCATGGATCTGTTCTCCAAACTTCCTGGATTAGACTTCATCATCTCACCTGTGTTAGACTAATGAAGTCTGAGTGGACTCACCAGGTGCTGCAGTATCCATGATGTCAATCAGAGATGGTTCATCCAGAGACCAGCTGCTGCTTTAAGACAAAAACTAAAGAAAGAACAAACGTAAAATAAGTTCATGTTATAACTATTATCTACTTGTATCTAACTGTCAGTTATATACATGTAGTACAGACAAAGACTCTTGCTGCTTTAGTAACACTGAGCTTCATTTACTGTGAGTCCACTGAGAGTTTCCACCTGACACCAGCATCTGTTACATGTGGTTCAACTGTTGCTTCACATTAGCTGCTTTATGGTTCCTGTCTACAGGAAGACAGGCCTATAAAAGAAACAACCTATTTTGCAAAGAGATTTGTTTAAAAAATCTCCCAGTTCAGAACAAAGGAGTAAAATCATCAGTATTTACAGTGTGGAATAGCACTGACTAATAAAGTTATTATATGTACCGTTTCTCCTTTCTGTCTGAGTTAATGGTGCGTTCGAGTGAATTTCAGTATCTCAGTATTTTGTGGGTGAACATCAAACTGTGATCAGACCTGAACAGACACTGCGCATGATGTTGATCAATCATCAGATATCAGTTATTCAGATCGGTGTCATTGATCGACTGTGACTTCTGAGGTTAAATTACAGTTAGTCTGTATTACCAAACTAACACAGTCTTCCCTGTTTATTTCCATGTCTCTAGTTTTTATTATTCTTGTTCTGAAACGTGAAATTAATTTTAAGTTTTCTCTCTTTTTTAAATTATTTTATTACTTACTTTTATTTCATTAGTAACATCAGAGGCCTTAGAATGCATCAGAGAAGAAAGAGATGTGTTGCAAAGGAAAGGCAGTGTGGCCGCATCGATCGATACTTTTTAAGAAGTCAATCAAATAAGTCCAGCGACAGGTAGAAAACCACAGTTCAAAGGATATCAATAACACAGCTACAGAGGGAGAAGAGGAGACTACAAGAGGGGATGCAGCTGATATTGAGGTGAATAGGCCAGTCAGAGAGAGAAATATGTAGCAGAAAACTAGAGTTAAATGGCCGAGGGCAAATAGCAAGAAAGAATGGGAGTTAGTCAATAGAGATCTGTCAGTTATTTTAAGCAGACTAGGAGGAAATGCAAGCGATAGACTAGAGACGATGGGGGATATAATTTACTCCTATGGTGCAGAAAGATTTGGGGTGCAAGACAGAAAGAGGGTCGAAAGAGCACAGTTAGTTAAGTCTAGACGGCAATGGGAAATGGAGAAATTAGTTAAGGAAAGAAGACAATTAAGAAAGCAGTGGAAAAGGGCAACAGAGGAAGAGAGGGGGGGAATTGATGTGTTGCAAGAAGATTTGAGAGGCAGGCTAGCAGTACTTAGAAGGGCTGAATATCTTAGGAAAAAGAGAAAGAAGAAAGAATATGTAAGGACAGTGTTTTACAGGGACCCTTTCAAGTTTGTTAAAGGATTGTTTAACCAGGAAAAGGGAGGGCAGCTTAAAGCAACAAAGTTAGAAGTAGAAAAGTATCTAAGAAACACGTATTCAGATTTTGAGCAGAATAGAGTAATAGGCCTTCCACCTGACATGCCACCATTAGGAAAGATAGACCATGAGATGGATGTTAGACCACCCAGGTGGAAGGAGGTTGAGGAGGTAGTCAGGCGTGCAAAGGCTTCTTCGGCCCCAGGGCCAAATGGAGTCCCCTACCGGGTTTATAAAAGCACACCTGATATCCTAAAGTTTTTGTGGAGGCAATTAAGAATAGTTTGGGAGAAACAGGTTATTCCCAGAGCATGGCGTAGGGCAGGAGGTGTTTTTATTCCAAAGGAGAAGGAATCCTCAGATCTGAGTCAGTTCCAAATGATCTCTCTCCTAAATCTAGAGGGGAAGATCTTCTTTAGCTTAGTCGCACGGAGATTAGCTAGTTATTTAGAAAGGAATAGCTTAATAGATACTGCAGTAAAGAAGGCAGGAATACCAGGTTTTGCAGGGTGTTTAGAGCACACTAGCATGATTTGGCATCAGACTCAGGCAGCCAAGACAGAGAAAAGAGACTTGCATGTCATATTTTTGGATTTAGCAAATGCGTTTGGTTCAGTGCCACATAGCCTTATTTGGGAGGCATTTGATTATTTTAGAGTGCCTGGAGTAGTGGTTAGTTTAGTAAAATCGTATTTCCAAGATATTAGGCTATGCATAAGCACAGCATGCTTTACAAAAGGATGGCAGAGGCTAGAAATAGGCATTATGGCAGGGTGCACGCTTTCTCCATTGGCATTCACAATGGCGATGGAGGTAATCATTAGAGCGGCAGGATGGGATGCGCCTTAAACCAATTAGGGCCTACATGGATGACATGACGTTGATAACTACAATGGTGCCATGTATGAAAAGAGTACTTGAGAGACTTAATAAAAACTTAAAGTGGGCTAGTATGAAAATCAAGCCTAGTAAGTCTAGAAGTATCTCAATAAGCAGAGGGAAGTTAAGTGATAGGAAGTTTGTAATAGACGAAGAGGAAATTCCAATAATTAGGGAAAAATCAGTAAAGAGTCTAGGTAGGTGGTACAAGGCAGACTTGAATGACGGAGAACAGGTAGTGCAGTTTCGGAAGGATGTTGCTGAGGGACTCAATAGCATAGATACATC